TCACTATATATAAATGGTTTGATCTAGTAGATATTAGGTACTGTTTATCATACAGTGGTGTGTATAAAAGATAAACTGGTTCGTTACGACCTGTTGCTTGACGGCTAAATGGGTAATACACTCTTCCGTGCCCAGTTGTTTTTCGCCATCATGCATTACTGCAAGCTCATCGAGATCAGATGCTCGCACAGTTGAAGTGTCCTAAAATAGGAGAAGATCTCGATCCCGATATGGACTTTACCCTGCTACCTTCTGAGACAATGCACAACTCACTTAACAGTAACCTTTGACAGTATCGCTGTCAAAGGATCATCAAAATGATCAAAAAACAACCCACCACGTGCCTGGGTCACCACCCACAAATTTTGCGGTGCAATTCATCAGCCCCTCATCTCCCTCTCTCTCTCACGCACAAATTCCAGTAATCTCCATACCAAATACGCTGAAAATGTAACTATTGATTCCGAGTTGCGCAGCGATTTTCTTTCCGCCCAAATTAAGACTAATTGTATGCTTAAATTGCAAAAAAGTTAGTAGTAGCGTCTGTGGGATTCGAACTAACACACGAACGCCACCTACGCTCTGTACAGTTCGCGCATGCGCGCTCTACCAGGTGAGCTACAACGGGGCAACATCGACAGCACATTTGGATTCTTTATCCATTTTACAAGGGTATGTGGAATCAATCAGATAGGCATGTACACTCATTACCATAACAAGTTTTTCTTAGTAGCGTAGGCGGTGTCTATGTATGGATTCGCATGCCACCGAGGCTATTGAACTTTTCACAACTCAAACATAAAAAATAAATCTTCCGAAAAGCATCACGCTTATTTATTTCCTATTGCCATGGTTTCGCATTTCAAAATTCCAGCTTAAGGCTCTTTGTCGCCTAAGTATGAAACATGATTATGGCGAGGAGAGCAGCATTGACATGTTCATAGGTGGCAAGTTTTCTTATCGGGAGTATGCAGAATACATTGCAATGATAAGCGAGGGTTCAGTCGTAGTTATGTTCCACAAGCGTTTCACATTTCCAAAGTGTCGAATGCTATTTCGGTTTTGTACCAGTTCAGCTCCTAACCTACAGTGGTGGACGATGCCCGGAGCAGTTTATAGAACAGCCTAGGTCGTCGTGAACGACGACATCGAGATCCTGCTCAGTCGAGGCATATGGTAGTTGCTGAGGTATAACGCATAGCACCAAATAGCTCGCAACGATGTATGCGATGTTTGTCAAGGAAAATAGTGGGTAGAAGGTCAAACAAAGACTTAGCATGAAGATATGAAAACCCTGACCAGAGGACTTGATCCTGATATGTGTAATCGACGGTTGGATACATCGAGTGATATGGCTGCATGTTCTAAACAGTGACATTCATGCATTTACTATCTTCGCAACCACAGTTTAACTGGAGAGTCCATTTTCGTGTTTAAGCAGCCACTAAATGGAAAACGAAAATGCAGTAACCAAAACCGCCGTGGGAAAGTACAGCGTTAGTGGTTGTATAAACTGAAACTGTGTATGGCCTCCTAATTCCCTCTCATCTATTAATGCCATCTTCACCCACCCCCACCCACATACACACACATAGTATAACGTTTTTCTCAGCAACGGTTTACATTTGTTTGGAGGAAAGAGTATTGTATTTCATATTAGACGATCTTTGTAAACGGAAAATACTCGGTTTATGCTATATTCAGGATCTCAAAAAATCCCGTCTTGGTTGATCTCTTGTTGTATGTATTCACGTGTTGTAAAACTCACTTCCTGCACTAATCCCCATTCATGTTTGCTTGTATTAGAATGAAACAACATTCTGCTTCGCATCGGCTTGTGAAAGCCATATTGCGCACACGTGGTACCGNACCGTTTGCTTGAATTCATTGCCGAGAAATTTTTTTCTTGTGAAACGTTTTTGCGGCAACAACCTGCCAAGCTGCACGACCCACTTCACATGCATTCTGAACAATGTGCGTGTGCGTGTGTATAGTAACCAAATGTTGCAGCCAAGATTTTATCTTACAAGCGATAACTTCATACATTTTTCTCACACATTCTATGAAATGAATCACTTTGTGATTATACTTGATCGTTTAAGTGTAACCCAGTGAGCAAGCAGTTGAAATCCAATCCAATGGAGTGAATACAGCTGCTCGTTTGACAGACTTTACAACTGGAAGCCCGTTAGGCTGATTTCACACTTTTTCACACAATTAAAGCAAACACTCGAGGGTGACTACGATTAGCCTGGTCCCGTGTTGATTGAAAGTGAGCCACTATGTTCCGTGATGCTCTTAGGCCAGGCACTCTTTAAATTGGCTATCACCATTATCATCGGACAATGAAATACAGTGAAGCGAACTTCGCTGATCGCTGCTAAGAACGAGTTAGTGAAACTAGTATTTGACACAGTGAGCGTGTACTGTGGGGGCTTTACCTGTGTTCTGATGGTTAACTCGACCGATATGCACGTTATGATAGAGGCAGTGCATTATGCCAGTCGAGTAATAATTACCTGCGGGAACCCCCTAACACCACCACATCACACAGAGCGGTGAAAGTACTGAAGAGAATGAGGTTTTAGAGTTTAACGTGAGATTGGACAAACTGGATCTTTTCAACCGCAAGAAATCAGCGGTGAACTAGAAGAACTCATGTATCGCTTCTGAGAAATCAACGTATTCAAAATCAAATGATAAAAATCGATTTGGCCAATAACGTTTACCTAAAGGATGGCAAACAACTATGGATTGGAAACCGGGAAGCACTGAATTTATCACTTAGCTTAATATTGATAACGTTTCACATAACGCTATTCAGGAAGGGTGAAAAAGTCAACCAGAGGGGCAGCATCAGGAAGTGAAAAAGCTAGACTATAGTGGTGTGATTCGGATGGATATTATTATTATTATTATTATTATATTTCACACTTGTCTGAGGATAGACTGTGTGCCAAACAAATCATGGTACAATAATCTTTATAAAATGTTCCATGATTGGTTTGTGGGCTGAGTACTGCCAGGTTGCCCAGGCCAAGGCAGGATGGATGAGGTAGAAAAATCTTCAGTTATTACAATCGCTAACATAGCACCTGAGTGCTGAGATATTACCAAACCGAAGATGTCTGCTTATATTTATTATACGGTAAAAGGGCGACATCAAAACGGATAAAAAACAGCAAAGCAGTATAATATACAATACGGGAACTAAACGCGACAACGATTGCGTCTGAAGTGATAAGCTCATCTCTCCCAATTCGAATTCGGCCATCTAAAGCTATAAACTATTTTTTTCATTGCGCCATTTTTGTGCCATGAACCTGAAACGGGGTGAATCCTATAGTCGAGTAGACCTGCGACTCAGTGATGGAAACCAGCAACCTAAGCCCTGGGTCTTGTAATCGCAAGTCACATAAGGCCCCGCTAGATTAGGTGTGGTATTGAACCGGGCGACAGGAAAGCTGCCTACTACCAAAGTTGGGTGACGATGATGGAGTTCGAACCTTAAACCATAGGGTCCAAAGCCCGCCGGTGACAGCGACTGAACCATCGCGCCACCATCACCCTATTCCACAACTACATGCACTGGTCTTAATCAATGGTCTGCTCGGCGAGAATCACGCGAAGGAGAAAGTGGAGCAATTGAACATCGATCACACTTCTGACTGGGAAATTTAAATGGAAGAAATATAATGATAAGCGTACCGTATTCCAAGATTTGAGAAAAGCCATTGATTTCTTCCATTATCTAGAAAGGCAAAACAATGAGATGAGGAGAAAAACGGCAAAAGTCAGAGAAATACGGATTGTGAAAAACAGAAAAATATCATATAGTTATTTAATCTATATGGAACACTTTCATGTTTCGCTTTGTCAAGTGCAGCGCGCGAGTGACAGCGAACGAGAAATCAAAACCGGAATAGAATAAAATTGCTTTCACGAATTCAAAACACCTTCTTGATGCGTGTCACGATCAAATGCTGTCTGAATCGCTTCTCGTAACAAATTTCATTGAAACTCATCTGAATTCAGATTGAGTCAAACAAAACGTGACACCGTAACTAAGGCAGATTAGGGGATCAACCGCACACAGCAAGAGTGGTGAGGGGAGCACCGATATCGTCGTTTGTTTTTCTGAGCGTGCACGTCGTTCATCCTTCTTGTTTTTATTTTCCAGTTTGTGGGAAACAGGACAGGAACAAGAATGAGGCCATCGGCTTCGAATACAAGTCTTGCAATGTCTCAGACAACAAATTATTTTACTGCGAAAGGTAATCAATCCTAGGACTATGGTTCGAGATGGGATGGCGCAGGGAAAGCAGGCATTGTACCGGAATCCAAAGCACGTGACCTGGCAATCATGAACCTTATAGTATAGTGTTTTTTTTTGTTGTTCGCGAATGCTAACACAAACTGCATCCGATGAAACGCGTGATCACTACTGACGTGTTGCCTGCTGAAAATGGAAAGACTGAACGACAACCGGTGTTTTGGTCTGCTCATTGGCACAGCAAAATGTAGTACGGCACTCTACGACAAAGGAAATAGAGTAACTCAAAGTATACCAGCGATTGGGTATTGAGTGAGCGTTGTTGAAAAGATTTTGGGCATATAATGCGCGCAGATCGGTGCAATTACCTGGAGGACGAAACAGACTAGAGACGTCTGAATTGTTCGTGGGGTATAAACAACAAGGCGAAGGAAAGTATCACCATTCACGAATTGCCCTTTTTCGCCACAGGTACCTTGATATCATTATTAACTGTATTGATTGTATTAAAACACGGGCTGATTGTGTTCCATGCAAAAATCGTAATCAGCAATCTTGTGGTTGCGAGCATTTCTTGAATGTGCGCCAGAACGATCACAATGGGATATCGGATTACATAAACATGTGAGTTTTTATACCAGAAATCAATAAAAACACGCATTTTTAGAATTGAACCACATTGAATAAGAACATGAACATGAACTAAGTTAACAGAATAGTTGCTCACCTGCAATGCAATTGAAGCTGCCAATCGGAACAAAATTAGTTGGACGGGGCGACCGCAAAAAAGTGGATGCGGTTTGTTCGAGTCGAACGACAGCGCGTGCATATTTTTCAGATCTGACGAACAGGAATGGAAGGTGGGACAGACAGACAACATTGTGTCAATTGATTCCCAGTGGAGAGGCGCTCAGGTCAACAACAACAAAATATAAACCAATCATCACAGGTGTCCCTGAAAGCCTCATTATGGTTGGCGGTGTGTCTAGGAGTTGTGGCTGATCGGTCTTCCCGTGCAATTCGCGACACGCTCTTATGAGAACAAGCGTCTCAAACAACCTGTGTGGAGAAAGCCCTACTCACTGCCTTCCCGTGGGGGGAGGTGTTTTCCCTCCAAAGTGAGAGGAAGAAAAGCCGACATACGGGGTTATAACCGGGTGGGTGAACCACTGGCAGTTCACCCAAGGAAGTGGATTAAAAACCCTGATTTTAAGCCACCATCACGACGAGACTGCACCTTGACGTGGTGTGATGGCTTGCGCGCTTCAGTGACCCTGCGAGCTACACAGGATGGCTTCTCACAGCCGTAGATCCAATCATGCCTGAAAGGTCAACAGGTAGAGGCCAGACGAAGACCAGTCTTACAAAGCGAGCTGCTTGGGCACCTCCTGGTTTCCTTCCTCTATCCACATCCGCCCCTGGAGAGGCCACTCCAGCAAATAAACACGGTGAGGGGCAGTTTA